ATTTTAAAAAATCTTCTGATATTTCCTAACACCGCTATTACATTACGAATACTGTTAACATTGCCGATTTCCGTCGTTACAGGAGAACGGTCCTTTTCCAAATTGAAAATTATAAAAAATTATTTGCTATCGTCGATGACGCAAGAACGTTTGACAAATCTTGCAATTATAGAAATTGAACAAGATTTAGTAAACAATATTAGCTTAAGGGAAATGGTTCAGACATTTGCTAGTGATAAAGCGAAGAAAGCGAAATTTTAGTTGTATGCTTTTTCTGTTGGTTTCTTTACTAAGATTATTGGATTGACAAATTCAGTAGGTTCCTTTACTTTTTTTACAATTCCATGCCTCAGCATGTTATTCAATTCTAATTTAAGTGAAATGGAATTTTTCTGCACGGGGCTACCGTAGCCGTATTTTTCTGTGATTTTTCCGAGGATTTTTCAATTTGAGATAGAAGTAAGTACCTATACCTTACACATATTTTGCTTTCAGTGTTACCCGTCATGCCAAAATACAACTTGTACCGTAAGTTTTATCAGCAAGCTTAAAAAAGGAGTAATGCTATCATCAATACACTTAGTAATACGCCGTATCATTGTTTTGCAACTATTTCAAATAATATTGAAAGTCCAAACCAAAGCGATAGCTTTGATATCTATGAGATTGCCCAGTTAAGTTGTGATTCAAGTTCTCATGATACCAATTCTACTACGGAATTAGGAAGGAGGAGGAAAATGAGCAAGCCATTCACACAATCCTAATACAAGTGATACTCAATCTTTTCAAGTCTTATTAGCTATGTGGGCAATTAAATTTCAGATTTGCCATGCGTTGAATGAATTGTTACTGATGAAAAAATTTGATACTAGTTTACCTTCAGATTCTAGAAGCTTAACCTTTAACCGCTACCAAGGGGTCTCATATACCGCCATGATTTCATTTTTGCTTACATCTTTTGTTAGCATTACTTCTGTACCCCGCGCACCTCAGCACCTTTCAAGTTTATGACGATGCATAAATTAGTCAAGTGGTTGATTTTCAGCGTGCCGGACGTGCAATATAGCAGTGACATTTGGCGCAAACGGTATCACGTACCGCGTGATAGTGTGAGTGTTAAGTCGCGTACTGACTTGAATGTGCATGCGCTGCTTTCCGCACTATTTATAGATTTTTTGTAGTTTACTTTTAATTCAAAATGTTGCAGAATGCAGGACCATTTTGCATGCATCCAGATGATCCAAGATTTGAAGCGTGGTGCGCGAAACAACTGGAAGAAGACGATAATATCAGCGAGAGGAGGAAAGCTGCATCATTGACAGCGAACATGATTTAGAATCCGAACAGTATGCAAGTGAAGATTCAGAGGAAGAAGAGGAGCCTGTCTATCAAGAAAGTCCACTCCAAGTGTGGGATTTATTGTTTAGTGAAGCTATGGTGGACAAGCTTATTCGATGTACAAACCGAAAGTTTCCCAATTACGGATAAAATACAAGAGACCAGATCACCCAACATTGAAAGATATTGATTCCGTAGAGATGAGAGCTTTTTTGGGTTTACTTACATATACTGAAGGTTTCAAGGCGGAAAGGGAGAGTATAGAGGGATTGTTTGCGACAAACGGCACTGGGCGAGACGTATTCAGATGTACAATGCCAAGGAGAAGGTCTGAAACCTTGTTGATTGCGTGAGGTTTGATAATGATATTGACAGAGTAGTCTAGGCGATAGAGACTGTAAAATTGGCAAACTGGATATCTTGAGGTGGAAAAGAAAAAATTGGTGGAATACGTTCAGTTAGGTGTCAGAAACAACATATTAAAAATCCCACCCCCCAGACCCTGTGCTAAAGGCTCCATCCACCCCACCACCCCCAAGAAACCGTGTTTTCGCCCTTTTTGGCTGATACCTCGCGATCTATGAGGTCTAGATGAAATACTTATGACTGAAAATATTTCTCGTGAAATTTCATACAAGGTAGATTGTTACGTTTATGGCTAAAAGGTTTCTCTTATTTCTTATTATTCATTTATTTTTTCTGTTGTCGGGATCAGTTTCAGATCGGAAGAAATTTCTATTAATATTTTGTTTATTCAGATATACAGTTTCTTTTAATTTAATGTAAATTAACGTAATAGTAACGCATATAAATTTTGAGCGTGTCACTTTACGCATGCGGACAAACAAATCCATCGAAGGGGAAATGGGAAGGAGACAGAATTATTGTGAACGTGCTACGATATACTCCGATGCAATATTACGCCACCTTTTTTATCTATCGCCGCACCGCTACGCTACTGTATTGCACGCCACTGCCGCCATCCCTCTACTGCCGCTAAAAGGTAAGTGCGTGCTCAAATTTACGCAAAATTTATTATCAATCAAACCGCACATAGATACTCAGAAGTTAGCCAAGGTCTACCTCATAGCCTAGGAAATTCATAAAAGAGGCGAAAATCATCAATTTTCGTGTTTTTTGCAAATATATCGCGACCTTTAGGACTAGATGAAATATTTTTATCTGAAAATGCTCGTGAAATTTCATATAAGGTAGATACTCTGAAGTTAGCCTAGGTGTACCTCTTAGCCTAGAAAATTCATAAAAGGACGCGAAAATCATGGGTGACTGGAGCCTTTAGCACAGGGTCTGGAGGGTGGGATTTTTAATATGTTGTTTCTGACACCTAACTGAACATATTCCACCAATTTTTTCTTTTCCACCTCAAAATGTCCAGTTAGATGTCTTTATCGCCTAGACTAGAGTAGAAAGACTGAAAGAAGATCGAGCAACAAGTTAAATGTGAACCCCCAAAAAAAACCACACAACAACAATAAAAATACCCATCAAAACACCCTACAACAACCAAGTCCTTCACACTTTCATCCTCCCCCTCATCCTTTCCCAACAGAATCCAACAACCTCACCAACCTGCAACTTACCAACGAAGAAGACAACCTGCTAAAACTAGGACATAAATTCGCACCACCACCACGACGATTGTCATCTTTAACAACGGCCGTAGACATTGAAAGTCAACTTCATCACTTTTACGATAGAAACATTTTCTCAAAAATAGTCATATTACTATAGACTAAAATGAGTGAGACCACACTTATCAGTTATCACAAATGTCAGTCTTTTTGATAAAACTTGGCCTGGCTTTCGGTCTGATTTGTTTCGTAACGGTGGAGTGGATATTCGGTTGTATTGATAAGATATTTTGAACTTGTATGTCCGTTATGTCTGCCAATCTTAGAGATTTTTCCACCTCATCTAGCTTAGGGTTCCTTTCTTTGATTAATTTAGTTTTTGCATCTTGATTGGTTGACCCGAAAACAAGTTTGTCCCGAAGTATTTCGTCGGCATCACTATATTCGCAGGCTCCAATTAGTACCTTGACATCAGTATAGAACGAATTAAATTGCTCGCCTTCCTTTTGATTACCTTGATTGAATATAAAGCGTGAATGCAAGACATTTTTCTTAGGGTTGCAATATTCCTCTAGTTTGGCTAAAACATCTTTAAGTTAAGTATTTGTAGTATTACCTTTGATCGTGTTGTAAACTTCCAAAGCTTCGTCACCAATTAAGTTTAGTAAGACAGCAATTCTTCGCTTATCAGGTTGTGTATCAAGCAGGCCCGTAGCCAGAGGGGGGGCAGGGGTGGCTGAGCCCCCCCTAGAGACTTTAAGCGCCCCCCTTCAATTATGACGTAACTTATAGCACAATCACATTATCACAATACCAGTTGAAATTGAAAAACAATAAGGAGAGATCTACTTTAAAAATATTTGGTTGCTTAAGTAAAGAGGGACAAACGTGACTACAATAATAGAGAATTGTCATAAAATTAAGTAGTTAAAGGCAAGCAGGATAATAGATAATTCCTACATTTTCTTCAAATGTAATATACCTGCAGCGTTGGGTACAAGTATTAGCGACAAATGAGGATTAAATTAAGAGAACCGGTCGTAAATTTGATTTCCAAACATAAACGGCAAGACCGAACCGAGGCGAAACTACGAAAAATTTTAACGTCTCGTATTAGTTACTGGTTGCTGTTCAGTTCAGTCAGCAGTGTTTGAGTGTTCAGGCCGCAGCCGCAGGCGCCGCAAACGAATGAGCTAACGAATATACGATAACCGATACGTCAAGGTCAAATTAATTTATAGAGTCTAGTCAGTAGTCTCGTCTCTGCCGTTATTTAAACGCTCAGTTAACGTCTGTGGTGACATTTTTTGATAGTGCTATATTTGTCTAATTACCTAAGATACAATTTTGTTATTATTGTGAACTATGGATAAGTTTATCATTAGAAAACAACAAAACACTTCGGGTGAAAACACTTCAAGTGCTTCTTCAACATTTGTATGCGGTGAAAGTGAAAGTTTTCCATTCCAGTTGCCTCCATCATCGACATTACAAAACAAACAGGTACAGGAGCAGTTGCCGTTTCCATCAGATTTAGCTTCTCAAGGTATGGATATTGTTCAACTTTCCTTAGCAATATATCCCAAAGATAAGTTTGGTCGGACTTTTAGGAAAGAATGGTATTCGAAATATAAGTGGCTGGAATACTCGAGTGTTACTGATTCTGCATACTGCTATGCATGTAGGCAGTTTATGATGGGTAGTACTACAAAAGACAATACTTTTGGTACTTGTGGTTTTCGGAACTGGAAGCATGCTCTCGACAATTTCAAAGGTTTAGCAAAGCACAATTCAGCTAAAATTCATATTCAAGCTATGTCAAAATGGGCAGAAAAACAATCTAGGGAGTCTTTGGGAAAATCTGTTTCTACTTTAGTGAATGAAAATGTTCTAGAACGTAATAGGTATTATATCAGTTCCATCGCCGAAATAATACAGCTTCTAGCTACAAATGAACTACCAATGAGGGGTACTTACGATATTGACGAACACGAAGAAAAATCTTTATTTACAAATATATTTAAATTTACATTAAAAAAAGACCAAACACTTTTTGAATGCCACAATCAAATGCCCAAAAATGCCACGTATTTGTGTCCAGAAATACAAAATGATGTCATAGAGGTGTTGGCGGAATGCGTTCGTGATAGCATCATACACGATATTAATAATGCAGATGTTCCATGGTTTACTTTACTTGAAGATGGGACGAAAGATAAAAACAATAGGGAAAATGTAGCAATTGGGATTCGATATGTAAGAGAAGGTAAAGTTTGGGAATCCATACTCTGCATCAAAACTACAGAAGATTTGGACTCCGAGACTTTTACAAACTTGACCTTAAATACTCTCCAAGAATATGGAATAAGTAGCGACCGCCTGCTTAGACAGTGCTTTGATGGAGCGTCAGTTATGAGTGGAAAGAATGGGGGTGTTCAAGCGCGAATTCAAAAAAAACTAAATCGTTTTATTCCTTATGTCCATTGTTCAAATCATAGGCTTCACTTGGTTTTAATCAAGTCTATTGATATTCCCACAATCAAACAATTTTTCGATCAGTGTACCATGTTGTATCACTTTCTTAAACAAAGTAGCGTAGCCAAGTTATACAAAGGACATGCTTTGAGTCGACTTTTAGAGCAACGTTGGTCAGGCCATTTACATGTGACTAGTGTAATCTGCAATAACTATAAAGAAATCGTAAACTGTCTAAATGAAGCTATTGGTAAGAAAGATTTTCCAGGAGACAAAGTTGCTGAGGCTACTGGTTTGCAAAGAATTGTTACAATGCGCCCATTTAAATTTTGTGCGGTTTTTATGAATAAAGTGTTACATGCTTTGGAACCTGCAGACAAATTATTACAAGCACGCGAAACAGATCTTCGACAATCGGCAAGAATTACCGACTCGCTCATTGAAGTAATTCAAGGGTTTAGGGATGACGCAACGTTTGAAGAAATATGGAAGATTTGTACCAGTGGTGACTATAATACAAATACATCACTGGCTGAAGCTGAACCGGTAGAAAATAAGCGACGCAGAAAAGTTAATTCCGCTCTAAAGGACTGTGTCGTTATGGAAACAACTGGTGCTTCGAGAGACTCTTGCAATCTAAAATCTGTATTTTTTGAAGTGTTAGACGTTATGTTGTTAGAACTCAAACGAAGGTTTAGTGAAAATGGTGAACTGATACATTCACTTCAAGCTGCAGAAAATTTAGAGTATGAAAACATTGGTTACCTTTCCTCAGTAGGAATATCTCTTCCTAGTAAGGAAGAACTTATTGCAACGCTTGGGCGGTGACGGAGAAAGCGTTCGTTGGCTCGGTGTGTCTCACTCACTCGCATTAGCCTCCCATTGACTATCCGCGACGTTATGAGAATTAGCTCCTTTTTTGGTAATTAATTGGGTACTCATTAACTCACAATTAATTACAATAGCTTATGAATGAATGTTATTTACTAAAAAAAAATAACTTGGCCTAATGGTATCACATTAATTGTATTTAATGAATGATAGAAAACACCGTTATACCGCTCACGATCCTTTTGAAGGAATGTTATTCTTTATACGCAACACGGAAAAACGCAATAATTGTTTTTTTTATTAAAACAGCTGCTACTTTTTGTTTAAGTGATAGATAGCCTAGATACGCAGTTTTTACAAAATATTTCGTTTAAAATAGGTATTTAGTTCTGCTGCAGCCGCGATTCTTTTCTTTTTATGGCAGATTTTGGTTTCGATTTCCTTACTTCTTGCTTATAATACTGTTTAACTCTCATAATTATGTAGAAATACAGCGCCTGAGATAATATATCTCTTTTGTGCTCCTGACAATTAAAAGCAAAGGAAAGTCCCACTTCGTACACTTTAGAAACTGTCTCTTCAAAAACGTCCACAGAATTGATGTGAGTGATGAGTATCGACTCCCCTTCTTTCAAAAATTGGAACATCGAAGTATTTGGATGGTTTAAAAATCCTCGGGACTTGAGTTGTGTCAACTCGCCTGCGTTATCATCAAAAATCTGTTCCTTAGAATAAAGAAGTGATTTACATGTGATACAATGACTTAATTTAAATAATTTTTTTGAAATAAAGCCTGCTAAGTAGTAAACTACACAGTCCATTATTTTGGATAAATAATTAGTATCATCATTATTCAAGGTATTCTGTAGATTTACATATTCAAAAACATCCTCAGCCTCAGTATCTTGATCTTGTTGCAATAGATTATCTATTTTCCCTTTAATCGCAGTTAAATGTGTTTGTCGTCCAATTTCAGGTGCCGAAAATATATTTTTAAAGTCTTCAAAACTGATTTTTGGAGCTGACGTTCTATCTATAACTGTGCAGTTGCCAAAATGCAGGTGGTTTAAAAATCTTGTACACAGAAAGTAAACGGTACAGCTGAAGAAATGTCATAAATGTTGGGTGGTCATTAGCGCCACCAGCTTGCCGAATGGTCCCAAAAAACTGCTGAAATATTTAAGAGAATGAATAGTGCAGCAGTACTTAATAAACATGACCCTTGTAGCATAAAATACCTACCTCTAAAGGGTCCTGATTCATTTTTGCAGTTAAAATGTATCGAAAATCACAAGAGTCTAACAAATAAGTGGACAGCTCAATAGTCGATAAAATGGTCACGCGTAATCCTTCTGCTGTACTGCTCGTTAAGAATTCATCTTTTCTTATTTTACCTTCAACGACCATTTTTTCCCAAACATTTAACCACTCCAAAGTTTGCGTTAAAATCTCAAAATCTTTACTACCTTTCCGTATTCCTTCTGCTGAATATCGACGATTCAAAGCGTCAAAAAGGTCATTAATTCTCTTTGTAAATGCTATAGTTTCAGTACAATTCATGAACTCGGTATTTTTCCGTTGGTAAAATGCAAGACCATCAGCCACCGCGTTACTAAACACCTATAATAAATATTGAAATTGGTTGGTTATTATAGCACAGGCGATAAAAGTACCAACTTACCTGGCTTGCCAACTTAACACGCATTCTTAATAAAATCGATGGTCGAACATGAGCTTCCGACAGCTTTGGACAGACTCGTAAATTGCCTTTAAGTTTCTGAGTATCGAATTCATACAATTTTGTATAATAGTGCCATTCAATAACTCCTTCAGGTATCTAAAAAGTATTGTAACATACCTAATAGTTTAATTGTTGCTTATACTTACGATAAGTTTAGATTGATTCAAGAGCCTGATTCTAATGCATTTAATGAGATGCGGAGCGTCAGAAAAAAATATAGGAAACGCTTGTCATCCATTGGGTGCAAAACCTTATTGTTTGGATTGTCCGCTTTTCCTGTTATTCCATATTCTGACCACATTTTTCGATTTGTAGTCGCTCCATCAGACACAACTCCATGAATAATTGCTCCAGATCTTTCTAATTTTCTTATAACAGCTAACATCAACTCCGCTAAACAAGTTCCTTTTGTGGCTCCTTTTGCAGCATATACAGCAACTGGTATTGATAGTTTAGCTCCCAATGAGGTAAACATAAACACCAAAGCGTGATTTGCGCGTTGGTCAGCCGTTTTCGCACTAAACGTGTTACCAAATCCAAAATCTTGTACTCCAACTAGCTTCAAGGTTTTGACGTTTAAATCTATGCTTTCTCTTACTTGCATTTCATCTAAAATTAAAATTCCATGTCGTTCGAATTTACTTACTCCTTCCATTCTTCTCTTAAATGCTTCAAAAAAATCCATCTAATCCACATTTTATGTTAACTCTCGAAAGATATCGCCGAATGGTTGACACCGCAGGTAATGGTAATATCTCGTTTGAACGCAAGGTTGTAACTTGCGGAATTTTTTATGTATAATAGTAAACACAATAAAAGCCAGTCTGATGTATACCGACGAGAAGTTGGTTTGAGATATTTGCACTGACGAATACATTCTGCAATGAGCAGTTTTTGGGAAGAGTGAAGATTATCCATATCCTCAACTCTTTTTAAATCGGCGTTTTCATCAGTATCTTTGAACTGTTGCTTTAGGGCCAGTAATTTTGCATTTAGTCGAGAAAATCGCATTTTCAACCTTAAATGGGCCTTGCGTTTCTTATTTTTTTGTCTGTTTAAAAAGCATTTATTACTCTTTGCGTTTGCCCGATAATTAAAACAACGAACAGCCGCATATATTAATTTACATTTTACACAACGGAAATTCTCTTGGGTTGATTGAACGTTTTCTAATAACTCACAATTTATGTGCCGCCATACATTTAGACGAGTATCCATTGTAAATTTTGCATGCTTAAAATTTGGCGGTGTGTCCGAAAGAACCATCCCTCCTTCACAACATCGTATCTTATCAAAATCAAGAACCACTGTCTCTAAACTATGAACGTTGATCTTAGGATTTGCAAACATATTATTTAATACCGGGAAACCAAACACGAAAAATTGAATTTTCTCTTTGCTATACACAATTTTCTTTCTTTCGATGACACTTTCTTTGACGATACTCATTTCAGTTAAGCAGATCATATTTTTATCCAAAGTGGAACAAAAATGAATTGCCCATGACTTGGACGGTAATTTTAAGTTTTCATTAATCCATAAACTACGGAATGCTGAAATCTCCGAGCTTGTAGAAGCAATGCTTGTAGTTGCTTCTGAAATGTCCTCTAAAATATACAAAACAATTACGATGGGTAGGTATATCAAAGTCACGGATCAATACCGCGGTAACAAGATAAGATACTAAAATTACCTCGAAAATTACCTATTTCCATGAAATTGGTGTCTTTCAGATCCAATTCCAGATCTTGTTCAGATTTTTGCTTCTTTGTTAAAGTAAGGTCGTATTTGTCGCGTCTTTTAGCGACAGTCTTTGATAAATATTTTGGACAGTTCGGAAATTTGGAAGGTATGGCCGTTTTAACCAATTTAGGAACTAATAGTTTTATCTGCAGTGTTGTAACAATCCCATATACATAAAGGTAAACAGTATGTAACATCAAATAAGTACTTACCGTGTATGCATCCGTTTTTAATTCCGATATAATTTCATCCGCATTAAAATGTTTCGCACAAACACAATCTTTAGTCGTTAACTCGCGGTCTTTTCGCGGAATTGCTTTAGACCATTCAACTAATCTATTTGCAGGTATTTTAAATGTAGACACCTTTTCATTGTTACTCTCGTAGCCTGTTGAACAATTAGGAACCACGCATTTGCGACCCATAGTTATAAAACGAAGAAAAACAGCAAATAATGTCTTAGAACGTCTTAAATGATCCTGCGATAAGGAGGAAAATAAGTAGTGTGACTGAGACACACCGAGACTACGAATGCTTTCTCCGTCGATATGAGGCGTTGCAGTGAATATGACAGGCGTCCTCTACTTTTTTGGTATATCAATGAATTTAAGAAATTTTCTTCCTGTCCATATAAATAAGGAATGCATTTTTCACATTTGAACTTATGTCCAAGATTGAAGCTGACAAAACCAGCAATGTATTTAACAACTTCCAAAACATAGGGAGACAATGCAATTAAACACATAATCATGGTCTGTGAGAAACTTGGAAATAAAATCATCAGTATCATCTTCAGTAGTTTCTATTATGCTTGGAAGACTTTCATTTATAATTTGTTCTGGACTCTTGTAAGACGAACTAATATTTTCTACTCCACCATCTCTCACTTCAGCATGTATAAAAAAATTTTTGTAAGCGGCCGTAGTCGCGCGTGAGGTTTTCAACGTTGTGGACGTGTTTTTAAGCGCTCCTAAGCTCAGATATTGAGAAACGCGGAAGTTGCAGTGCGATAATTTTGTGTGTAGTGTCGGTGGAAGCGCGCTAAAAAGACGAATTTTTTAGTGCAAGAATGGAGTAAATCGGCTGGTAAACAGCGGAGATACGATTTTTTGAAGTTTTGCGTGTTTTTGGTTGCGAGTGGTACCAAAAGGTAGGCCTTAGGTTTAGGAACGTAACCCGCACCGGGTCGCCCTTATCGGCCCACGCCCTCGGGCGCTGCCGACCTATCACTTTCCAGGCGATAGCGACTGATAGGTCGACAGGGGCGAAATGGGGTGAGATAGCCGGTCGGGACCGGTGGCGTTTGAATCGGGTGGAAAAGGCGAGTGTATAGACACCAGACTCGAGGGGGTGGGTTCAACCCCTGCGCGCGGGGTGCAAGTGCCTGCACGTGGTAGCAGGGTGCGGAAGTAGAAGGGTAGCACGCTCGGGAAAGGGGTCGGTGGAAAGCCCATAGTGTGCCAGAGTGGTGGAGGCTAGAACGAACCTTATCGGGTCGTGCGTGCGGAAGTGA